CCCCCCCCCCCAAAAAAAAAACCCCATTAAACTCTGGCTACGGCCCTGCTGTTATGTCTAGCTGCATAAGGACAATGTGCGACACACAGTTGGTCTCTAAGGAGCATCCATCTTTCAATATCTTTGTTATTTCTTTCTTTCGTTTTTAATTTTTTTGTATGTGTGATTTTGTTTGGGGAGAATATGAATTTGGAGGGGTTACGGCGTTTCATTATATTGCTATACCTAGCGGGGAGTTTGTGGGAAAGAGCCATCTCATGTTGGGCAAGAAATTAAAAACAAAACAGTTAAAAGTAGGTCGTAGGGATGCAAATTTTTTAGGGTGACTGACACCTATCGGGGGAGCTTCGGGTGAGGTATAATGATAGTGGTGTGGTAATAAAAATGGAGGGTATATAGCTGACATCAGTCGTCCGCTTAGGCCAACAACAAAAAATCATTTGGTTGTCCTCGATTGCTTTTCTTGAGTAGGGGCGGGCGGGCGGATTTTTTTTTCCTTTCTTTCAACTTCATATTTTTTTCCTCCCCATTTTTTAAAATTTTGTGTAAAATAATAATTGGGATGTCAAGCATAAGTTAAACAAACAGTCTATAAAACAATTTAATATGGTAAACGACTAGTTTAATGTACAGTGAATATCAAGACCAACACAGAAAGTATTTTTGGCTTTGAAATATACAGCACCTTTTAAATCTTTAATGTACTACTTATAGCTACTTGCGCCCTCTACAGCAAACAATGCCTAATCGGTAACCATTGGTCCCCCATGGGGCTCTTTATCTTATGTTAACTGAGAGCTGATTTGATGATATAACCACCTGTCCAGTGACCTACAGGGTGGTCTAATCCCTCCTGTAAACTAGTACAGATGGGCTTTAAAATGACTTTAAGAATGCTCAGAACCTGATTTGAATAAACGGCATTTTGACATAGAAAAATACAAATGGCAAGTTTAATAAATATAGAATTGTGTACTGAAAAGACCAACTGGCAACGGGACGCATTTTGATCCTTGCAAATGCATAAAATGGCATGTTTGGCATTTAAGATTGCTCCCCCAAAAAGATTAAATCAAAACAACAACAACAACAACAAAATTAGTCTTTATCAAGGGTATTAAAACTTGTCAGTTTAAAATTTGTTTCCTTGTCTTATATTGAGGGCAAGTCCACTCCAAAAATAAGTAACATTCAATAGAAGCAGAAAAATCAGACAAACCAATCAAAAAAAGTTTGGGCAAAATCGGACTACTAATAAGAAAGTTAGGAATTTTAAATGACATGAAAAAACTTTGAAAATCACAAGACAAATTGGCAACTCACTCATGAGTCTGTGACGGCATTTCCTCACTAGCGACTAATTGTTTTCTTTATATTGATAATTTCCAATTTTCCCCCTAAAAATATTATTTCCTGTCACCAGCATCCAAGTTACATTGATAGTAATATGTTTTTGTGTGGATGCACTGATAAAGAGTAATTGTTTTCAGTAAAATCATGAAAAAATTGAATTTTGATAAACTATTTATATAAAATCAATGATCATGAATAAACTATATTCAGAAAATAGTATCAATTCTTCAAATTTCATAAAAGATTTTGTGAAATGTCATGCACGCGATAATATACAAATCATATAACCTGGACAAAGGCATGGGGAAATCAAGTTTCTGTAAACAACGTTTCAACAAAGTGATGGGCACGGTTTTATTTGTCATAAGGGCCCATATGGGATACAAAGGACTTTCACATTCAAGTCTATTGAAAGCACCCCCTCGTCTTTAATGAAAATAAAAGACATTTTAAAGGGGCTTACACCTCGCCTGCACACCGAACAGAATCAGCCAGCGCTAAAAAAAAGATCCGCAGCTAGAAAAAGTTATTATATTCATTGACAGGGTACCTATTAATTTCAGGTAGGCCCACATAATTAGATGCCCTGATTGAAATAAAGTAAAATCTGCCGAGCTTAGAATCATCTACTGCTTCTTTTTCTAAAATTGGAAGTTTCTAAGGAGCATTTATCTCCCCCTTTATTAAAATATTTTTTTGTTTTGTTTGGGGGGCGGGGTCTATCAAAGCCCCCTTCCCCCTCGACAAACTAGTGTATTTCTATTATATCACTCACCTCGTTTTAATAGTAGTGATGATGATGATGATTACTATTATTATTATTATTATTATTATTATTATTATTATTATTATTATTATTATTATTATTATTATTATTATTATTATTATTATTATTATTATTATTATTATTATTATTATCATTATTATTAACATTATCATATTTATTATTATCAGCATCTTTATTATAATCCTGATTATCACAATATATTATTATTATTGCAATCATCATCATCATCAGCAGCAGCAGCATCATCACCACCACTATACCATACAATTTTAAAATGATACAAGTGAGATGAATCGCTCTTCTTAATTTTCTAAATTCTTCCGAGTATTGTATAGGCCTATACCGTATACGTGCCATGGAAATGATGACAAGTTAGATATTGTAAAAGTACAGAATGCTTATGCATGTGCTTTATGTAGTAGTACTTCTAAATCTTACTAACTAATCAAGTACATGTTAGAGGAATGAAATGTAATTGCTTAAAAATGATCTTGTTCAAGAGAAGCAGAAAGCCAAATTAACTAATCAACTAAACTAACATAAACAATATAATAGACCTGATTTATAAATATGTATATAGGTCTATGTGTAGATATTTATTGGGAATATTGCATTCTGAATCATGTAATTATGGCAATGTGTGATAATTATGTGAAAATGTATTTGCAATTGCATATGAAATTTGCTTATGAGAGGAGAGAATTTAAACATGGCTTCTTGTTGCGCCGCTCTCTGACGATCAATAATGTTACTACATTTAAAATGTTGATTATTGTTCTATTGAGTGAACGCTGCATTCTATTATTCACAAGTCGTGAATTGGAATGTTTCAAGATGGGATAAATTATACACAAATGAAAATAACATGTCGATTTATAACACGTATGCTCTCAATACATGCGATTTTAATAGAAGGAAACAATTAATATGCGATCGTAAACTGAGGAAAGCAGTAAAAGAGGGGTGGGGGAGGGGGGGGGGGGGCAAGAGGATTTTGGCGGATAGACGGCTTTCAGTTCGAGAGAAAATAATGACACAAATCAACTTACTCAACAATTCCGATGAATCCATATTCTCGTAAAAGCAAAACAAAATATAATTAGAAATCTTAACAGCTATTCTTCATTCGTCCAAATATAAGGAACACCAAAATCGTTGGGTATAAGTCCGAGTCATGTTGGTCTATACACCATTGCAGTATTACCCCATTATTTGTTTTTCTTTTGTTATACGCGACGTGTTTAGTGGATGGGGTGACTGTTTGTCGTTACCAAGAGAGAGAGTCAATGAACAGACTGACAAATAAGTATCAGCATAGCAGTGATTGTGCAAATATTAAGTGAGGAGAGAGTGAAAGAGATACAGAGAAATTGACAAAACTATGGTGAGTGGGAAAAAAAAGATACAGAAAAAAATTAAAGAGAATGAAACGCTGAGAGAGAGAAAGAAAGAGAGTTAGCATGGTTAGAGAAAGAGAGAGAGAGAGAGAGCGATGGGGGTCGGAGACTTTGTTTCTTTCTTTTAATGTTGAGACATAAAATGAGCATAGGCCTACATGACCATGGACCAGCCGATCGACCAGGTGCCCTTTTTTCTTGTCAAAGAATTTTAGAGTGAAAAAGCACCCCTATAAATAATATTATGTGATAACTCCTTCCCACTAGAAAAGTGAGGGGGAGGGGGCCGGGGGAGGGGGGGGGTGATCTTTCAGCCCGGGCTGGGCCCTCCAGTGCCACCAATCTATTCACGAACGGGGGGGGGGGGGGGGGTCACACGCATCGAATTATATAGCTTACATAAATTGATATTTCAGTAATCGGAAGAAGAAAAAGAAGATATAAACGGTATAATTTACTTCTTGCTGCTAAAATAACTTAAGTATAACAATGGGAATAACATGAATACCAAATAAAGCAAGATAAAAAGAAAAAGATAGGGGGTAGAAAGAAAAAGAGAAAAATAAAGGTATGACAATTTTTTGTCAAAAGTGAGACATCATATTTTTTCTTCTTAGTTTTTTGCCGGAGTGAAAAGGTCACCCTTTGATATTCCAAGGGATGACTATTCACCTTTCAGGTTGCGCGGGTACCCTTTCCCATGTCCACTCCACGCGTAGTAAAATTAATTATCAACTCTTCTAACAATGTTGTTTATTTGCCTTGTTGTATGTTGTTGTTAAGCAGGCTTACATAATTATAATCACATACCTTTCTCAAAGTTTGGTGCATGTACCGCTTTTAGGCATCGACCCGACTGAGGAATATTTTTTGGGGACCCTTGGGGCTAATACTCTCACTTTATTCAAGGGGTGAGATCTTACAGGTTTGGGTGGGGAGGGGGCGGGGGAGGGGGGCCGTATTTCGGGACAGACTGACCGTCTTTTTTCTTATGAAGGACAGCCACAAAACTGATGTCGGACAAATTGTAGAAACATTATTGACCACATTCAATGTTTCCACATATAATTGGGGGGAGTGCATTTTCTTGATGTTTTGCCATTTCTAAATCCTGTTTTGTCTCAATTCATCTATTTAAAGAGTTTTTTTTTCTGGATGAAAACGAAAGGATAAAGTGCAAAGGCATTTAGGATTTGAAATACATTTTGCCAAACCATCGGCATCAAGCTTTGTTTGATTTTTGTTATGTTATCAATGTAAATTTTGTTTTGTGAATTCATGTGTTTCTAAAAATGGATGGTTAAAATTATTTAAAAAAAAATAATTATTGAAATGAGAAGAAAAAAAATAATGAATTCAAAATAATTATGCCTCGACGCATAGGCTGGATTACCGTACCTAAACTTAATTAATTCTATGACCTTAGTCCCTCTATAAAGGGACACTATATGACCTTATCTGATCACGCCCTCTAATGGCGAAATTTTGACAATCATCAATCTCTTTCCATCCAAAATGTCGAAGCGAGGTATGCGATAAGAACAATATTACTAAATAAATCTGTCTAAATCGTAATAATCATGGAAGTACATCATATAAATGATAATATATAAGAGTCTTAAATATATTTCACTTCCTTTGATGAACCTATTTATAAAGTGCATGTATTATATACCGTAATTTTCGGCATGAAATGTTGGCATTAGAAATGTATTTGTTCATAACATATCCTGTATCGTAGTTGTAGTGAGCTGGCAATAAACTCAGTCGGGTGGCCGGTGGATGACTGAAGTTGCTCTGTAATTCCATGTTTGCCTTATAGACTCTAGGTCTATATGTAACATCATTTTTTAGAATGAGATCTTATTTACCGACAATGGTACATGTTCCCTGTGATTATCATAATGGGTTGAGAAAGGGCTCAACGGTAATCTGATGTAGTGGATATGGGAGGTACTTCTAGTCGAGTTCTAGCAATGTCTGGTGGGCTACTCCCCCGATAGATTGCCGTGAATGACTGCTCCACATTTCGGATTACCCATGCCTGTACCCCGTGGCATGCACTGCTATTGATAATCATTCATAGCAGTTCCTGCATGCCATGCCCATGACGCCGTGGGGCCCTGTCACTCTTTGTCAGCTACAGTTCAATTTCTTACTTGAATTGTAGATTAGAATATGCTAATATTTTCTTGCATTGTTTCCTCTTTTAATGTGGTCTGGGACTTTGGTCACTCACAGTCACAGTTTGGCAGGCTTTTTAGGAAAACATGCTTCATTTGTGTGGATTTTTGGAAATGCAACATTAACTGAACTTGCATGTAATAGTTTAGACCGAATTTTCCGTCTCTTTCGTTCGTTAGCCTCTTATTGGGGTAGGGTTGGCTCTCTCTTTAGAGACGGAAACCGTCTATACACATTCCCTTGATAACGCCACGGCCATTTCAGGTCGTAGCGTTTTGCCCCCAAAATCCCCCAAAATGTCATTTTACCTCGTGCATTTTATATTGTAAATTAGGCCTAGGTCTAGGCTATAATAAATCAGTTCCACTTACCAACTTGACTGAAATAATCAGTTTAATAGTCCCTTTTTAGGAATTTATGGGTCAAAATCGAAATCCATGTTGAAAAAGATTTTCAAAATGGATTTCGATTTTGACCCATAAATTCCTAAAAAGGGACTATTAAACTGATTATTTCAGTCAAGTTGGTAAGTGGAACTGATTTATTATAGCCTAGGCCTAATTTACAATATAAAATGCACGAGGTAAAATGACATTTTGGGGGATTTTGGGGGCAAAACGCTACGACCTGAAATGGCCGTGGCGTTATCAAGGGAATGTGTATAGACGGTTTCCGTCTCTAAAGAGAGAGCCGGCCGACCCTACCCCAATAAGAGGCTAACGAACGAAAGAGACGGAAAATTCGGTCTAGTAATAGTTATGAAGAGAACTTTATTTAGTACCATTTAACAAAGTGAAGTGAATCAAATGTTGGTTACCTGTTTAACAATACTCAAGACAATAGATATAGATCTGGTGATCTTTTGTTTTTGTACTGTTTGTAGGCTTTAGCAAGCCAATAAATGTCATTAGATTTAAAGCCAGGTCCAAGGGAAGTGTGTCTAAACTAGTAATGGGGGGGGGGGGGGGGCTTTCCTTTTGCACTTAAAGTACTAACAGATAAGTCATTTTGACATTATTATTGCAAAGGCACCAAACACTAGTAACAAGAAACTTGACAAACTGGGTTTCACAAACATTAATGCGTAACTTCTTTTTAAAAATTTTCTTTAGGACGTGGAGGTTCATCTGGATCTAAATTCCGTATCTCACTGGGTTTGCCAGTGGGAGCGGTCATCAACTGTGCAGACAATACAGGTAAATAAAATGTAATTTTTTGCTTTTTGAATAGGATTATTGGCATAGTAATATTTCATATGGCCCTTTCAAAAGCTACTTGATTGGTGTTGTAGGAGGGGCAGATCCATGATTTTGAAAGAATGGAGGAAGGGAGGGGGGGGGGGGTGGGGGGCAAAAGATTGAATTTTTTCCTGACAAATCAAAATACAAAAGAAATGCAGAAATATTTAAAGTGTTGATTTACAATATATAAAAAGGTAGATGATGAGCTAGATGTTTTCAGGTGTCTTTTGGGACATACAGGGTGGGGGGGGGGGGGGGGGGGGGGGGAAGGGCACAGTTTTTCTGTTTAGTACTGAATTCCATGCCATGCCAGATCATAATGGATGGAGGGATAATTTAACCCTATTTTAACTGGGCTATTTCAGACCAGGTTTTTACTGGGGGGGGGGGGGGGGTCAATTTGACCCCCCCCTAAGATCTCGGCCGTTTCACCGCCGATCGCCGTGAAAATTTGCATGCATGTCAAGTGAAGTGTATAGAATACAATGGTAATTTCAAATTTTTGAAAAATTCACTCATTTGCATATTTATGGTAATTTATGCAAATAAGGTCATAAAATTCACATTGCGGCCCATAAATCATAGATTATTCATATTTAAGTAATCTTTTTCACTACATATATTTATTAGACCATTTGGAATAATAATACAACACAAAAAATTGGAAGAGCCAGGTTATTCCTTATGTTATCTCTTGTTTTTATAATTTCTTATGTATTTCATTGTTTTTTTAACTTATGTATTTTATTGTTTTTGTTGTTTTATTTCATTTATAACTACAATTCACCTATTTTGACCTCAAAACAAACATCTAAACTTTAAACAAGACTGAATAACCAATGTTTTATCTATTTTTAGGGAAAATGACTTTTACATATGTTTTGTACACAAATCATGAAAATGAGCGATTTTCGGGCTGACATGCAAAGACAAAAGGTCACGCGACCTTTTAACCGTAGGTCCGATTTTCAAAAAAATCGTTTTAAAAGATGCGTAAGACTCGAAAGTAAAAAGTCATGAGAGGAAAATTTTATATCTGCCGCGGTTTCGGAGTAGTCGCGAAATTTCTACAGGGGGGGGTCAAATTGACCCCCCCCCCCCAGTTAACGTAGGGTTAAGATCTAATCTGGATTGCTATAATGAAAGGGGTGGGCATATTTCTCTATTTTGTAACTGAATGCCATCCAGAGTTCTGAAAATTTATATTTTCATTTTATTTTTCGTGGGGGGGGGGGGGGCCAATCGTGCTCCCCCTAATATTTCAGTGGGGGAATCAACACTGTCCAATGTCAATGTTGTAGAGTGATGTTTGAATTTTAGGGGGCTGTGTGTATTGATCAGATAAGTGTTGGTGTAGAGCCCTGACTGTTTTGAATCAAATGCAACTCTACCCCACCTCTTGAATTTGATTTCAACTCTCATCACATAAGAACTTTCAATTTATAACATTGGAGTAATTTAGAAGTGTGCTAATTATGAAATATCTTGAGGAGTTTTTTTTGTAATAATCTCGCTGTAATCTTTGGATTATATTATTTCATAATAGGTGGTAAGAACCTGTACATCATTGCTGTGAGCGGAATCGGGGGTAGGCTGAACAGACTGCCTAATGCTGGTCTCGGTGACATGATCGTTGCTACTGTCAAGAAAGGCAAGCCAGAACTCAGGAAAAAAGGTAAGTCATCTTTAACAAAGAAGTATATTTAGACTCTGGAATACTTGAACAAAAATACACGTTTTGTTTTTTGTTTTTGTATATTCTTTATATATTGTATTGTAATTTGCAGTTGATCAGTGTTCGAAAATCTGGAAGCAATTATTTTGTTGAAAAATGAATTTTATAAAGGGCTCAACACAATTGTTAATTCAGGAGGTCATTTACGGATGTGAAGAAATTGGCTCCTGCCGTCTTCTTAAATTTTTTATACAGATCTTGGAGTCGCTTTTTACTTTCCATTTGCTGTCAGGCCTGGTTAGTGTGGAGCACTCATATATTTTACGACCACTTCTTCCTTTATTTTTCCAGTCATGCCTGCAGTAGTCATTCGGCAAAGGAAGCCCATCAGAAGAAGAGAAGGCATAGTACTCTACTTTGAAGACAATGCGGGAGTCATAGTGAACAACAAGGGAGAAATGAAAGGTAAGTCTGGGTAATGACATTTCATCCACACTACATAAATATCCCCTTTTGTAATCATATTTACTGGGAACAAACGGTGAAAAACATTAGCTCAGCGATTATCTTTCTGTAATGATTGTTGATATGTTGCAGCTTTTGGGGAAGCAGGTTTATTTTATAAACAAACGACAAAATCATATGTAAATTGATACTAATTAAAATGTAGGCTTAGCTGGGTGTGCTATTTGAATGTAGTGGTATATGGAATTTAAGTAATTTGAGAAAAATTAATCACTAAATGTGTATTTAGATTTGACAGAAGTTATGAAGTTACGCAATGTGGCTGTGTTTCGATATACGTTCAGCAAGTTTCTTCTTCAAAATTGTGGTGAAAGTTTGTCTCTTGTTTGGGATAAGGCCAAATAAAAACAAAACATGTTTAGCGTGCTGCTTTTTTGAAAAATAGGAAGGAGGAGGCCCTTTTCTTTTTTTTCAAAATGGCCGCTCGGTACATTTTCCCTGACAGTCGGGCTATTTTTCAAGATGGCCGCCAAAATTTATTTCTTTTCTTTTTTAAATCAGAAATAGATCCATTTTAGCAGTGTTTTTCATGTGTTTTTTTTCTTTCAAAAAAAATCAATACAAATTTTTAAAATTTCCCCCCCAAAATAGGGGGCGGCCCCAAAAAGGAAGTGGGCGGGGACGCTAAACATGTATATATTTTTTTTAATGGCCTAACAAAATCATGGCATGACAAACTATTTGATTATTGTAATTCATTGATCATGAAACAAATTAAAAACAACTGAAATACTAATACATTTTATAGAATGGTAAAATTTTTGGTATGTTTTATTGAAAGCCCCCCCAAAATGCATTCTATAGAAACATTACCAAACTGTATTACCTTAATTGCAGTAAGAGTCTATTCGGTTGAATATCCTCAGTGATACACATGTTTACTAAGCAAACTTTAAAGGTAATACAAAGTTTTGGGAAATTTTGAAAATGGGTGGATTGTGATTCTTTACAATTTTGATGTATTTGTATATCCCTGTTGATGTAATATAAGCACAAGAAAATTTAGCCCCCAAAACACTTCTGCTTTCGAGAAAAATTGAATATAAAAATTTGCCGGTGCTCCCGGTAAATTTTGATATACATTTCAATTAGCGTCTACGGCCGTACGGTGGTAGCTGCGACCATGAAAATCTCAGAATATGTAGTTGTGATATATAATTTCCAAACGGGAATAGCTAATCGGTCGATTTTAGTCAAGAAACATTGTTTTATAGCTTAATTAATGTCTTGACCTTGAGAGGGAGCTGTACAACATAGAGAGTTTATTATTTACAATTTTATAACTTCAGACTCGATTTCAACCGCGACAACGATCACTACATATTGTAAGATCGCATATGCTTCCAATATGTTCATTTGAACCAAATTCATGACCCCATACTAAAACTTTGTATTACCTTTAAACTGTGTAAAAATACAAAAAATATTTGATATAGAATTTATTTTCCTTATGTTATTTTCATATTATGAAAGATATTATTTAGATAATTACTCAATCAGACCTCTTTTAAATTGAATTTAAGTAGTATTTTTTTTTCTTTCTGTTTTCTTTCTTCAAATTCAAATCTGTTTCCTCCAACATATCTGCCATATTTTAAATCATCCATGATTGACCTTGACTAAGCCCACTCTTTTCTGTTTGCTCTGTCTTCATACTACAGGTTCAGCCATCACAGGTCCAGTTGCCAAAGAGTGTGCCGACTTATGGCCCCGTATTGCCAGCAACGCGAGTACCATTGCATGAGATGCACATCTCATCGTCTACCTACCCAACATTTGGCATCCAGAACCCACAACACTGCAATCAAAAACTCACCATCCCAATGACGAACTGTAAAGTCCTCTTTTCTGACTGAACTTATGAAGTGTACAAAGTAATAAATTACAACTTCGCAACAAACACACCTTCCTCTTTCCTTTATTGAGAGCTTTCTGTTTTGTTTTGAAATTGTGACAATATTAGTACAGTGGAACCTTGTTATCTAGAAAACTGTTATAATAAATTCTCAGGATAACAAAGTACTTTCGTCGCTCACAACTTTGTAACCTAGAGTTTTCTAGCCTTGATAAAACAAAGTTTTGATGTAACAGAGGTAACTTCACTGTTTCCAAGAAGTTCTTTTTAATAACAAAGTTCCACTGCATTATTCATTATTGTGCCTTCAATGAATTTTGTATTGATGGGGAAAATGTATTGACGGGGAAAATTTGAGAAACTGAAGAAAGTGTTCATTATACAGTTTTGGATTGGAAGTAGAGTGAGGTGTAGAAAAGTGAAATGAATAAGAACTAAGTGTGTCTGTGTGTGTTAGGGGAGCAGATATTGCATCCAGCTTCGCCATGCTTCAGTCACTCAAGTCTATCAATTCTATAGTCAAACCTGCCTGAAAGAACCTGCCCAATACCCCATTCACAGTGGCCTCAAACACCGCGACAGCAGCGGGACTGTCCCGCTGCTGTCGCGGTGTTGTCTTCAGTGTGAAGGCTCGGACCCGTTATAAACTATCGCGGGATAACACCGCCTCGTGATAACGCCTCGACAAACTATCGCTAGGCTCGCCTAGCTACAGCAGCGGGACAGTCCCGCTGCTGTCGCGGTGTTTACTCAGTGTGAAGGCTCTCCGCTATAACACCGCGACAAACACGTGTGATTTGTTTACTTACCTATCACTGACCTCTTTTCTCCAGCAATGGGGAACATAAAGTGAAATAGAAATAAAGTAACCAGTGGATTCAAATCGATTTTATTATTATGTAGATATTATAATTATCCAAATAAAAATATTTCACTTCAAAAAATTAAAATATTCTGACTGGAAGCAATAAAAATGCTAGTTTTTTAAAAAGTAATATGATCGAGGATACAAAAAGCAACTTGACATGTTTAGTATTTCCGGTCATATCGGGGTCACTCGCGGGTCATGAGCCATGCATACACGTGTTTGTTACGGAGGTCTTAAAAATCACCCGCTGCAGCGTGAATGGGTACATGATATTTATCCCGCTGCTGCAGCGGGATAACTTTTCTACTGTGAATGCATTTGTAGCGGTGTTATGGCGGTGTCGCCGCTCCGCTACAACGCCGCTACAAATTTCAAAACCACTGTGAATGGGGTACAAGATATACAGCAAAATGCAATTTTATAGGGGGGAAGGGACTTCCCCCCCCCCCCCCCCGAGGGCTCCTTGTGTGTACTTGCTCATTTGTGATTTGTAGCACACATATACGTGATGCACATTATGCTCCTGTTGTTTTGTTCAGTGGATGTGGTTGTATGGAAGTGGTTACTTTAGATCTGAACAGGATTCTATGATTTGAGTGATGGTACATATAGGCCCGAATTCAAAAAGGAGATACGACGTACATAAACCTTGGTTTGTCGACAAACCTCCTTTGTGAATTCGGGCCATAGAGACTAAACATTTGCTCTCATGCTTTTAATAAAGACTTGGACCAGACCTGCCAATCGAAATGCATGTCAAACTGCATCGTTGTGTAGGCTAATTGTTCATTGGTTATGAGGATAGTTTGTAATTTTCGAATGATAAAGTGAGGGGATTATTAGCTTGTTTGGGGCTTTGGAATGTGTGCATGAAAGATCTTGTGTCTGTTTCCCTTACCAATTCCGATGGAGTGATGGTAGTGAATTGTTTGAGTAATCGAAGTGAGAGTTAAAAGTGATTGTGAGAAGCAACAAGGGTCACATAAAGAAAAAGTACATTTTGTGCTGTGTACAATCATTTCTTCAAAGTAAATTACATGTATTGAATCTTGGAGATGTCTTGAGGCGAAGTCCATTCTTGATATTAAACTGCTTTGGAAGATGCTAGAATCATTATGAAAGTTAACTGGTGAGAAATTTAAATCATAAATAAGGTCATATCCAACACAAAATGACGACCATTTCTTTGTTAGTTGATACTGCGATACATTTTACCCAACATACATACACATGTATGTTAATACCTCAACTTTTATGTGAAAGTATACTTTCAACCAGCCAAAAGCTGGGATCATCCCAGATCCTTCCCATTCAGTTTGACACTTCAAATTTGGCAATCTCTTGATTGCCAGTACATCTAAATTTCCAGAAAAGTTTACATCTATTCTCTAATCTTTCTGCTAGTTTGGGGTAGACATCCTTAGACTGCCCAATGCCATTGCAATGGGAATTCTTCATTATGACCAGTCTGTGCCTTTCCATGCATTATCCCTTTTCAGAAATTTAAAACTGACTAGACACTTCTATGAAATTGAAAACATTAACGATTGTTTTGATTGATGAACACCCTCAAAATGATTGTCACAAAAAATGAACACCAAAACTGATGAACAAAATGAACTGTTTTGAAGATATAATACTATTCTTTTAATTTATTAAACACTTTCCATAATACAACATTTATATACAAGTTATTGCAATTGAATATTGTCCTTGGGGTCACTCTTGTTCACCTTTCGACCAACTTTAGGAAGCAATGATGATCCTTCACTGAAGGAGCACTTTCGTTCAAAAGACGTGTACAAAAATACTATTTCCTGTGAGTAAATAACACATGCTTGCCCAGTGTATTGAAAAAAAAAACTTATTTGCACATATTATACCATGTAGACAATGGTAAAAAAACACATGTATTTTGGTCTTTAATCTCTTTATCATCTGTATCTGTATCAATTATTTTTGTCAAACTAAGCAATTAGGAAAACATAAATACAGTCACCATCAACATGAAAAATCATAACACATAAAAAAGGAAACAAAAATTTCAAATATGTGGGGTATAATATATTCTCTTTACATGAACAAATTTAGTTTTACAGGGTTAAAGGTAATACAAAGTTTTGGTAAATTTTGAAAATTGGGTGGATAGTGATTCTTTACAATTTTGATATATTTGATGCCCCTGTGGATGTATTATAAGCACTGGAAAATTTAGCACCTAAAACACTTCTGCTTTCGAGAAAAATTGAATATAAAAATTTACCGGTGCTCCTGGTAGCAAACGGGAATAGCTAATCGGTTGATTTTAGTCAAAAGGCATTGTTTTATAGCTTAATTAATATCTTGACCTTGAGAGGGAGCTATACAACATAAAAAGTATTATTTACAATTTCATAACTTTAGACTCGATTTCAACCGCGACAACGATCACTGAATATTTTAGGATCGCATATGCTTCCAATATGTTCATTCGAACCAAATTCATGACCTCGTACCAAAACTTTGTATTACCTTTAATCCCAATTTTGTACATGTATGAAACAAAGATGAGTATCCTGAATCTGTGCTCCTTTAATTGTGGAAGTTTTAATAAATAATAAGTCATACACTAGAAAGGGACAGCTTTGGACAGTTTTGAACCCCCTCACCCACACCCCACGTATGATGTATAAATAAAAGGGAATAACTTGTCCTGTTTTAAAAATCAATATTCACAGGGGGTACAAGCACAAATGATAATCAAATCCAAATTACCTTCTAATGTCCAAACTTCAACAGTGCTTTCATTAAAAGATGAATTTAAAACGAGCCCAAACTAGCAAGAGAAAGCCAGGGAGGGAATTTCTGTGTCATGAAATGAGCACAGACAAATTAGCTTGGTATTACCTAAACAAAATCATATTCAGTAAAACCACATCAAAACCTGCAAAAGCTTACAATACACAAGTTCAGGTCTTTTCAAAGGCAAGTAGCACTCAAATCTAACACCAGGTCTTGACACCAATGGATACTGGATAGGGTGCACAAAAGTTTCTAATTTTCAATTCCAGACCCCTCCCCCCCCCCCCCCCCCCCCCCCCCCCCCCCCCCCCCCTCCATTTCAAAGTTTCAATAAGGACCCCGTGCAAATCGATCTAAAACTTTCAATCTTACTCAATTTTGCTCATGTGAAATGAGTTTGCATGGATCCCTGTCTACGTTTAAAGATGAAAGACCTCAAGACGGGTCATGATCAGGGCTCCTTCCTAACCTTTGTTCCTGGATGAGTTGGAACAAAACATTTGGTATCAGGTGGACCAGTGTTAAATTGGAAATTTTTGGATTTTATCTGAGTACAAGAAAAATCAATGCTGAGCCCTGTCAATTGCAGTATGAAATTTTGCATCCGTTTTCTTGATAAGGTCACTGTGATGAAGACAGATGATGTAACTTCTGTCACCACTTGTAACGTTCCATAGTTCCACAATCTTGATGCTCCTGCATCATCATGATTATCCTAACCATATATTCTTAGTCCTTCCTAGTCGCTCTTGTGCTGCCTGTTATCATCATTTGATCTTCTTTGCCTCTTCCCTACCCTTGTCAATTTCTTCCTTCAGTTCCCTGGCAAATGTTTTCCCAAACGACGACAGATCTCCTTGTGGCTCATGGGGTCCTTCTCCCATCTTCTTCAGTGTTTCAGACTCAGCTGCCTTGTCTAATGCATCATGTCCTACAAGCAAGACAATAAAGTGGTTGAATAATAGTACATGATCAAAAAGGCATTCTCATCCTTTATAGACATTCAGGGCCAAAAATTGCTTTTCCTCTCAATCCCTGCTTCAGTAGTATCAGACATTTCACTTTCACTATTATAATTAACACATACATGTATGAAATAAGATATGAAATAAGATGTGAAATGCCAAAGTGGAATCGTCCCTTTGCAATGGGAAATGACTTTGATTTCATAATACCCAGGAGCTTCTATTTTAAAAAAAAGCATGATTATGCCTACTTGCATACATTAAATATACATTAAATATACATAGTTCTGTACTTTTCAAAATTCAATAATTATTTAGCTTCTTTTCATGCATGGGGAGAAATCTGTAATATATTCAATCAAAAGATGATTTATTGACCGATAACAACTAGAGTTTTTCATTTTTCTTTTTCTACTGGGTTACTATAATCT